CGCCCCACCCCGCCCTCTGTTTACTTTACTCAGCCAATAGCAAGGCAGTTGCTCCCCGCGCCGTCTTTCCATTGGTCTGTCCGCCACCGTGCCCGCCCTCCCAGCCTGGGATTTGTTCAAAGGGGCAGGTGGACAGGACTACTGCGTCACCTCTTCCTGGTTGGTCTGCGGGCGGGGTTTGCCCCCTAGGTTCGAATTTCTAGGCCTTCGTAGGATACAAGACTGCCAATTAGCGCCCAGTCCTTCTGGAAGCCTGAGGTGGGTCCTCTGGGTCACGCCCAGGAGACCGGATGTGTAATTGAATAAAGGAAGCGTAGGTCCTTCCAGTAAGGCATACTGATTGGACCATCAGCCGGGGCGTGGCCCGGGTGCCTTTGGATCACGGAAAGCTTTTCTAGCGTTTTGTGAAGGCCAAGCTCGGTACCTTGCGGGCTTCCTGCGGGCTGGCCTAGAGCCACCTTAGGCCACGTGCCTCGCAGTATAGTCTGGAGACTGAAGCGAGGAGAAGCTGGGAGGAGGATAACTGCAACCACTTCGTCCCCCTGGCCTCCGGTCCGATAGCCTGTAGCACCCACCTCGCCCCCGTGGCCGGATGTTATGATTTCTCTCCTCCGACATTGCCTCAACTGCCCTCTGCCTCTGTTGCCTTATAAGACAACGTTACCACCCCTTGAACGTTGGGATTCGTTCACACCCATTATACAGGTGGGGAGTGGAGGCACTGGACGTTAAGTGGTTGGCTCCAGACCGAAGTCTAAGGGGAAAACAAGACCAACATTTTACAACTAATCAATACCTTCTATATATTCTAGATAATAGCCTTTTATTGGAATAGCTGGTAAAATTTTTTTCCCACTCTGGGTTGTCTCTTCACCCTGTTGGTAGTTTTTCTTGCTATGCAAAAGCTTTTTAATAAGATGAGGTCTCAACAGTCAACACTTTCTAGCTCAACACCCCACTTCCTCCACCCCCAGTTAGCACAGAAAGAAATGGAAGCTTGCCCAAAGTCATCGAGAAAGACAGAGCCGGATTCAACTAGGCTTCTCTAGTCCCGTTCATTCATTCATTCAGAAATACTTAGGGCACCTGCTTTGTCTCAGGCACGGAGCCAGTTGCTGAGGAATACGTCGGTGTCAGCAAGCTAGCCAAGCTCTCTGCTTACAAGCTTAAAGGGCAGGAGGGTGACATTTGAGTAGCCCAGGCAGAGGCAACAGCAAGTCCAAAAGCTCTAAAATTAGAATAAGTTTTTTTGTTTGTTGCTTCTTTTGGTACCGGGGGTTGAACTCAGGATCTTGCACTTGTGATGCAGGTGCGGTCTGGCCCTAGAATAGGTTTAATGAAGAAGTGTCCAGGGCCCAGTGGTCTGAGATGAGACTGGAGCAAAGGCACTGACTTTGTAGACCACAGTGAGGAGTTTTTTTAGCAAAAGTGAAATGTGAAGACTTTGAAAGGATGGTTTACACTTTAAAATGACCACTCTGACTAATGGACTCACAAGCAGCTAAAATTAGAAGCAGAGAGAGCAGTTGAGAGGCTAGAGAATTTCAGGAGACTAACAAGGTGGCAGTGGAGTAGGAGAAAAGTGAATATATTTAGCAAACATTTGGGAATTAAGAGAAAACCCAAGTGATCAATGGGACAAAGGGCAGGTACTTCACCAGAAGAAGGCTGTTGTGTTAAGTGAGACCTGAGGGTTAAACGAGAGTGTGTGTGTTTCAAAGTTAATGGAGTGAGGCTGGGTGTGGTGGCCCATCCCTAAAATCCCTCACTCAGGAGACTGAGGCAGGATTGTTACAAATTCAAGACCAGCCTGTCCTACAAAGTGAGACCTGTGTCAAAAAAAAAAAAATCATGTTAATGGGTAGAGGAGAGAAAGAACATCTAGATAGAAGAACACTGCAAGTTCAGGTGTCCATAGAGAGAGGAGAAAGGGCTCCTGTAATCAGTACCCATGGACAGAGCATGAGGCTAGAATTTAAAGGGATCACAAAATGAGGCTAAGGCCTTAGGAGCTTCCTGGATTTTGCCTTTCATTTTCAAGGTAAAGGGGAACCTTCAGGTGGGGAGCGGCAGGCTTTAGGCAAAGGAAGAGTATTGTGATCAGATTTACTTTCCCAAAGAGCTTTGGGCTGCACTGTGAAGGTTGGGGTAGGAATGGGGACAGGGGGCTGATTGGTACATAACTGTTATTAACTGGTTCTGAGCATCTGAGCACCCTCCCATTTGGAAGGAATCCTATGAGTTATAAAGGCAGCTTCTGCCTCCCATTAGGGAGATCAAAGGGGGAGACAATTTCCTGTCCTGGATCCCTAGTAGCTGTACCATGTTTCCAACCAGGTCTTTAAACCCAAGCAGGAGATCAACACAAGACATCAGTGAAATCATGCAGAATTATTGTGGAGGCAGTGAAAGGGAGAGGGAGGGAGTCAAGCAAGGCCTTTCCTTGGGAGGGGGATTCAGCAAGCACCCCAGGCTGTCCAGGCAGTTCCTTGTCTGCTTAAATTACCCAGACTTGGCATGATTGTACCTAAGTATTTTGAGGTACACCTAACCTCCTTTTAGGAGGAACCATTACAGGAATGACAGTGCCCTGTGTTAGGGCAGTAGCAAGGGTGTGCAGACAAGTGACAAGAGGTCAGAGCTATCAGACAAAGTGATATCTTTTAAATGGGAAATTGCCACCAACCATCTGAGACATGCATTTCTAAAACTTTGACCTATGGCACTCAGGAGGCTGAGACAAGAGGACTGCTGTGAGTTCGAGACCAGCCTGGGCTACGTAGTGAGCTCCAGGTCAGTCTCAACTACATAGACCCTGTCTCTAAATAAATAAGTAAATAAATAAAACTTTGACCTACAGAAACCACTGCATTCAAGCAAAAGAAGGAATCCTCAAGGTTATTTCCTGTAACATTGTCTGAAAAGATAGATCACATTAATTGCTCTTAATATAAACGAATTAAATACAATTTAGTCCTTTCCATACAGGACTACTATGTAGCTGTTAAAAACTCTGAGTGGCAAAAAACAACAAAAACAACAAAAAAAAGAATAGGCCGGGGGATTTAGCTCAGTGGTTCCACCACCTGCCTTGCAAGCACAGGGACCCGAGTTCGATCCTCAATACCCAAAAAAAAAAAAAAAAAAAAAAAAAAAAAAAAACCAAAAAACTCTGAGTGGGCTGAGTGTGTAGCTCAATGGCAGATCACTTGTAAGAGACACCAGATTTAATTCCCATTACTGAAAGAAGGGAAAAAAAATGGTATGGGGATGCTTATCTACCTATATAAACAATTTCCAAGATATATTACAATTAAAAAAAAAAATGGGGCCAGGGATTTAGCTCAGCGGTTTGGTGTCCTGCCTTGCAAGTGCAAAGGCAAGTTCAATCCCCGGTACAAAAAAACAAAACAAAAAAACAAGCTTGCAAGCGCAAAGACCCGAGTTCGATCCCTGGTACCAAAAAAACCAAGGTGTAAAGCAGCATGTAAGATTTGCTACCATTGTGTAAGAGGGGTCCGGATAGACTAGGTTAAGCTAAAGTAACAAACCCTCCTCAAGTTTCAGTGATTTAAAATAGATTTAAACCAGGCATTGTAGCACGTCTGTAATCCCAGTACTCAGGAGGATGAGGCAGGAGGATTGCTGTGAGTTCAAAGCCAGCCTCAGACACATAGTGAGTTCAAAGCCAGTGTGAACTATATACTGAGACCCCCACACAACCGCAACACTTTTTTTCTCATGTACAACATGGCTGTCAGGGGGTGGGGCAGCTCTATTCATGGTAGACCAAGACCCCAGAGTGATAAGGGATGACAGGGATTCATCTCAGTTTGTGCTTCTATAATGTCAGGCAGTAAAAGAAAAATGTGGTGGGCCAGGAATTCAACTCAGAGGATCCTCTGCCTGCCTCACAAGTGCAAGGTCCAAGTTAAAAAAAAATAGTGGTAAATTATACAATAGTCCTTCAAGTACAAGTTAGTTCTGCACATATTCCATTGATCAAAGCAAACCACATGACTACAACTGCAGTAATATGTCACTTAATGCCTAGGATACCTTCTACTCCAGAGCCTAACATAAGAGGATTCCTTGAGTCCATGAGTTCCATCCCATCCTGGACAACATAGTAAGATTCCATTTCAAATAAATAATAATTAAAGCACAGTAAATGCATAAACCAGGTACATAGTTGTTCATTATCACTACCAAATACTATGCACCATACATAATTAAATTGCTATTCTTTTTTTTTTTTTTTTCTTCACAATCCTGGAGATCAAACTCAAGGTCTTGGATAAGCTAGGCTTGTGCTGTACCACTGAGCTATACCCCAGTGTCTATTACCATCTTTTATAAGACTGGCAGCACGGTAGATTGGTGTATGCCAGCAATACAACCAACAAGTGAGTAATGTGTTGTGCTCTGATGTTATAAAAATTAATATGGTCGAGCCGGGTGTGGTGGCGAATGCCTGTAATCCCAGCACTCGGGAGGCTGAGGAAGGAGGATCACTGTGAGTTCGAGACCAGCCTGGACTACATAGTGAGTTCCAGGTTAGTCTCAACTACATAGTGAGACCCTGTCTCAAAAAACCAAAAAAAAAAAAAAACCTAATATGGTCACTGGGTGATAGGAATTTTTTAGCTTCATTATAATCTTGTGGGACCACCATCCATTATTGATTATTGAATGGTCATTATGCTGTGCATCAGTGTAGCTATAAAAAGTACAGTCCTGCTATGAGCTTCCAAGGTTCCAGCACCTGACCATGTAAGTAACCCTGACTGACAAGCCTGCCATTGTGGGACAAACAGCAGTCATCCTCTGTTGAT